TCTTCTACACTGTATAAAAGAAAGAACGGGTTATTACTTGGAAAAAAATAGCAAAGCACAGGAAAATCAGAAAAGTAGCACTTTCCAGAGAACCATGCATTCAATGGTTCCATGGCGAAGGGTTTAACACATAGACTCTACAGAAGACAAGCAGTGTAAAAAGAACGAAAAAAGAGGGGTACACTTATATTTGGCACAGAGCTTGCTACAGAAATATGCTTGCATTGCACTATGATGTATAGTATAAAAAAGAAATATAGCCTAGTTAGTAGCGTGATAAAACAATATTTTAATTGCAAGAAGATTTATTGAGCTCTAGGGATGTTTCTGACTGCAATTATTACTGTTAGCAGATCTGGTCTCTCCTATTATTTATACTTTTAATAAAAATTCATTCTATTGGCTACTAAAAACCAGAGAATAGCACATATTTATAAGAGAATATGCAAAAGTTGGCATGTACTGAGAACGCACATGGTGAACAAGATTAAAAGTACAAATACTATGCAGAACAGTAATTTCTACATGCACTATGCTCTCTTTTAAACTACTATTTCCTGGATGGACTGCTATTCATGATAGAGCGCAGCAGAAAGATTTTTATTCATATAATGAGACATTCTTCACTATATCACACTAGGTAGTAACTAATATAGACAAGGTTATTTATTTTTTTCCTGTGAGCATTCAATTTTCTCCATATTAATGAATATTTCTCCTGCTTTTTGCCTGTGAAGTACTATTCTAACTTTCTTCTCCACTTTATATCCAAATAAAAACGACTCTGCTGTTTGAAAATGAATAAGAAATAGACTACTACTCTTTTTTACAACAGCTATTCCCGCCATATAGGGAAATTCTGATTCTTCCTTCATGAATCTACTTATGACAGTTTTTATACTTTCAACCCGCAACTTCTTTGACAATTTGTGTATTCTTTTTGCGAGCTGCCACTTTATCAGAGACTCTCCTGTGCCAGATATAACAACTCCTGCGTTTTTGGTAACAAAGGTGTTTGCCCCGTAGACAGAGCAGGGGCCAATTCTTCCTGGATACTTTTTCTTTAAGCCGCCGCTGCTAGAATATCCTTGCATCAGTGAGTTAGTCACTTCTATTATTCCAACTGTGTCATTCGGGGCATCTAATGATATATCTTTCTCGTTATTTATACCAGTGGGGCATTTGAAGGTTCCTTCTGTTCTATAGGCTGTACTTAGTGGGACTACCAAGCCCTTCTGTCTTTCTTTATTTTTTTCTTCCTGCAGCGCATCGTAAGGAAGTATATGGCTAGGAATGAGGCATAGTGATATAAAATTATCTTTATCGCTCATTTGGCAGCACTCGTTCTCTATGGCATTTTGCTGTGTTTTATTGCTTCCCTTGCCGCAGTTCAACATCGAGGACTCTTCCATTTCCTTTGCCAGCTCTTTTAGTGAATCTGAAGATAGAAGCATCTGCTTTAAAATCTTCTTTAGCCTAAGGAGAGATGAATAAGAAGAAGACCCAGCACCTGCATGAAGAAAGAGGAACATTACTTAACAAAAATAAAAAGAATATGAGCAGTAAGCAAGAAGAAATATGGGGGAAATGGGCAGTATCAAGAAAGAAGGCTATCGTGCGTATGAAAGAAAGAATATGAACGATTTATTTAAAGCCACCCATATAAGAGTAGAAGATGCATATGAGAAGATCTGCTATAATTTACTATGGTGCTCCAGTACAGAGTAAAGATGAATTAATTGTTTATATTCTCACAAAAAATCTTTATACGTAGGCTATTCATCCTGTAGCATGCAAAAATTCATTAAAATATGCAATTGGTCATAATAGCAAAATGAATAAAAAGGGCGAACCCGGGAATCGAACCCGGCACCTCCCGCACCCTAAGCGAGAATCATAACCACTAGACCAGTCCACCACCTAGTGACTTGAAAATGCTAAGGGCGAAATTGTTACATGTTTGCGCCTAAACACTCCAATAAGATACTTTCTATGTGGCTTTCATTGTATGATAAAGACTAAAAGAACAATTGCATATGATATTATGCATGCTAGTGAGTATTTAGGTTATATTTGGTGCTTAGTTCCTTGTCAGGCAATAACTTGCACTGTAGGCTTGGAAAGTCTGAAAATATAATAGAAACCATGTAAGCCTGCTACTAAATGCATCATTACTGCAAAGATGAAAATAATACCGAAAACTAATGTATAGTTTGCTCATTTTTTCTTTCATAGCGCACTGCATACTTCTAGTATACCCAATGTCACTGGGCTAGAACGAGTGTGCTTTTTTGCTTTGCTTATTTCTATAGAGTTTGCTAGCTAGAAAGAGCAGAAAGCATTCTGAAAATTAAAAATTTAAGTATTCAACGCCAATGCAAACTAAAAATATTCTTGAAAATCCGCCTCCATGATATTGAAGCAAAACATTGCATAGAAATGTATTATTTTCTCCAAAATGCTATATAGCATGCTAATTTCCAACATGGCAAGCTCCTCATAATATTCTTTAAAATCGTTTGGTTTAGATAGTCCAGTATACATGTAAAAGAAGAGCTCTTCAAAGAGTTGCATGGGTTCTATTCAAAGTACTTATCGGCACTTCTTTGAACCTAATGCAATCTCTAATAAACGATTATCTAATTTGTGCGTTTTCTTTAATTTTTATGTTTTCATCTTTTTATAGTACTCAAGCTCTCTACTAAGTTTGTTTGTCTACTAGTAAAGATGTACAATTTATTTTTATAATGACTACACAAAAATAATTTGTATTAGCATGCGGCCTAAAGAAACAAACTCTAACTGAGTATAGTGATTTAAAATAGAGTTTCTCGGATAGAGGTGTTTGCTTGTTATCATTTTGCAGATTTCTGTTTGTATTCGAGTGAACTCTCTTTGTGCATGTGGCAGTTTTCAAGTTTTTATTCTTATAATACCCTCTTGCAATTATGATGAAGCGGCTTTCTCTGTAATTTTGAATATTCTTTTATAACCATCCGTGTGTAGAATGGGAATTCAGGCAGAGTAGCATAATTATTATTAAAGTTTGCATAGATTGCCGAAACCATCAAAAGGATCGCGGTGCAAGGAATAAAAGAAAATATATTACACAAAAATATGAGATACTTTATAATAAAGTATGTATTGACTGTTTGCATTAGCACAGAGCATGTGCTTGGAACGGGCATAGATAGGATTTTAATAACAGATGAAATGATGCAAATCAAAGATTTATCTAATATATTGCCGTCTGTAGGAGAATATCTAATCAATGAAATGACTGACATAGAAGACAGCAACCCCAAACTAGAGAGCTGTAGTGTATCTGCAAAAAGTGGAATTAAAAAGACAGTAGACGAGGGAGTATCACCCCAAGCTACACCAAGAAACACAGAAAAAGAAGATGGTACGCTGGATGGGCTAGATAGCATCCTAGAAAAAGACCCGAAGTGGGCGGATAGCAGAAATCTTCTGAAGTCAATTGAAGAGTTCTCAGACGAGCCTCTGTCAATGAAGTTTTATCTGCCAGAAGAAGACTACAGATCAATAAACCCGAAAGCATGCAGCTTCATGGTGATTGGCAAAATGGACCACATTAAGTACAGATACATACAGAATGTGCTTCGCATGGCGCCAAACTACTCATGCTCGCACAGCTACAAAAAGTTCAAGCACCGAGATGTCACTGCCTTGGATAACATAGAGTCGTATTCTGTTGAAATGCGGGTGCTTGAGGCGAATAACCAGATGAAGAAATTTTATTCAAAGGTAAGAGAGGTTCGCCAGAAGCTGTTAAAACCGCAGCTGACAATGAGCGCGGTCAACGATTTTGAAACAGTGACACAAATATACTTTGCATACATTAGTAGACAGGTTGCAAAATTCTCAGATGTGCTAGAGGGGTTTGCATACGACAAAAAGTCACTGAGTGCACTTCAAGAAAGAAGAGAAGCTCTGAGTCTTATACATCCTATAAATGAAGTGAAAAGGCAGCAAAAACAGTATGTAATGAAGAACAAAAGAATATTTTATCCTGAAATTGAGCACATGGCATTTGCAAAGGCCTCCATGGTTAACACGATATTTCAAATTGAAGAAATAATGCCGTATATTGAGGATATCTATGCTATTATTAAACAAGAAGATAATAATGAGCCGGCGCATCTGAATTATATAAGAGAGCACATGCCAGAGCTGACAAAATCTCTACAAAAGTCTCTTCAAAGCATACTTGACTTTAATCCAGATTCTTTTGATAATGTGATGCTTACTAATGCCAAGGTTAAAATGGAGGAAACTCTAAAGATATTTACATCTATGGTGCATATGGCAACCAGAAGCTTGATAGAAATCTCTGTTCTACTTAAGAATGCAGTCTACTTTAAACCACGAAATCTACAGTTTATTCCAGAAAATGCTGCGGCCACCACAAAAACTACTCCTTCTCAACTAAATAATATTGCATCTTCTACCAAAACCACTCCTTCTCAACTAAGTGATACTACACCTTCTACAAAAACCACTCCTTCTCA